ACTCGAGTTTTGTCTCTTTCATACAACGTGTTCTACGCATGATTATTATAACACCTACACGGTAAGAAAAAAGTACCCAACGGTCAGTTCACTTTTACCTACTTTTGACTAGTTTGTCTCCTTTTCTCCTTCTAATGTTGTCAAAAACGGAGGAGCAAAACCACCCAACAGGGGTAGTAAAGTGTGGGAACCCAACGTTGAGTATTATCATATTTACGTACTGTTGGGTACAACTAACTTACTTTTGGTTAAATATTCAGTGGAAAATTCCATACGAACTGCACACAAGTAAATGAAAATTACTTTGACCCGCTTTACCTACTTTTGGGTTCCTGCACTATAGTGCCGAGATGAGTGAAAAGAACTTAATTTTGGGTACTTTTTTCTAACCGTGTAGTTAGACTATGAAAAACAAGCACGCTTAGAACGAAAGGCTGGCTGTGGATTTTCTCGCCGTTTCTTTGCCCATCACATTCAATGAAAGTAACGTCGATTATCGAGATGAAACAAAATCTTCTTATGGCTTTCAATCCCTTTCACCGTCCTTTCAATTTGTTTAATATGCGTTATGTTCCGTTTTCGTTACTTTTTATTTTGATATGTGGATGAGAGATAAACTAAACAAATTACGTGTAATCTTCAAGTGTTTTCACGTGAGAAATGCTTCAAATATATATTTGCATTTTCCGTCAATACGTCATGAAACCTTCTTCTTTTTTCCTTTATTTAACATCGGCCTCTTTTCTGTAATCTAGTGCCAATCACCGACGGACATCGATTGCAATCCATTGACGGCAATCGAATGTGCAGGAAGGCAGCTTTCACACCTGCGTAGGATATCGCACCCATTGGCCGGGACCAACGACTTTACTTCCCTTCCGAAGACGTGACCAGAGATTTTTATGCCTCAGAAAAATCCCACCGATCTCGGCTGGGATTAAATTGGGGTGAGAAAGCAGTTACGCTTACCACTACACCACCGGCGCCGGCGTCATGAAACCTCTGTTGATGTGTTTCATGAAAGACGAAACTGTCAATGTCAAGCTCTCTTTTTCTTTCGTTCGCTTCACCGAAGCTTGAATGAAATAGGGGAATTTACGTATTCTCGTCAATCTAAGCAGCGTCTGCACTTCTACTAGCATTTTCTCAGCGTCACGCACATATATGATGTGTCTGTTTGTTTACATTCATCTGCTGCTTGCTTTTCTATCCATTCCAATCGACAGAATTTTTCAAAACGTTTTGAAAGCGTTTTTACAACGCTCCAAACTTCTCAGGTGAGTGTGACTATTGTCGGCAGCCTCTTTTTCTTCGGCAACCTTCCCATTAGAACTGCGTGTTAACCAGCTGTTCTATTATCGGCAACTCGAAATCAACCCCATTTTGTAGTGCGTATGCTTTATTTGAAGAAAAATGTAGCATTACTGGATTGCTCGATCGTTCAAATATAATCAGATTGAAGCTGAAAGGCTAAACAATCGTTTGGACACATTCAGGGAAGTGCGTGGATGGGAAAACATAGTGAAATTAACGTTTAAATTTAGGTTGCCGAAAACAGTCAATGGGTGCCGAAGCCAACATTTACCCTACCAATCAAGCGACGGAAGAAACAGACACAAGCGATTTAAAGTTTGTTTGTAGACGCCAACTGAGGTTCTAGAATACTGCTGTTAAACTTCTACAGAAAAAGAAAGCTAGCAGTCTCTTCGTCGCAATGATTTTGTCGATTGAAGCTGATATCACAGACAAACAGACAAAACACATTGAATATTTTTCACTAAAAAACATCGTTGCTAAAACACTATCGCCATCTGTTGAGTATACTGTGATGAACAGTACGATGAACAGATGGCGGTAGTGTGTAAACGTCAAACGCAAGGGAATTGACTATGCGTGCCGCAGATGGTGGTGCTACAAACTAAAAAAAAAACCGTTAAATGCATGCTCGATGAACAACTTGCGAGTGTTCCCAACAAACAATTCAAAGTCACAAATAAGCATACACAATGAATAAATGCTGTATAACAGTGTACAATGCTGAATAAAACAGGATGTCGAATTATGTGCTGAAAAAAGCTCATTGAGATCGATAGATGCGCCTTTATTCCGCCGTTTGCTCTGATATGATTAATTTACGTATTAAAAGCTTTCTAAGCGTTAACTGTCTTCCTGATTCAGAACCAGATGTTTGATCTAATAACAAACTTAATAAGTGTAATTTGCACACACATTGTCGCTTTAATTCGACTGTTTTCAATTGATTTAATAAAATGCTTTATTAAACGTCTTATAAATGTTTTCTAGCTCCATTATTAGATTTCATTGCATTGCTTTACAATATTGCTGTATAAAGGTAAATACAGTCAGCAAAATAGCTCTTATACCACCCAACAAACAATTCAGAGTCACAAATAAGCATATATATTGAATAAATGCTGTATAACAGTGTACAATGCTGAATAAAACGAGTTGTCGAATTATGTGCTGAAAAAACTCATTGAGATCGATAGATGCACATTTATTCCACTGTTTCCTCTAATCTGATTAATTTACTTATTAAAAGCTGTAAAAGTGTTAATTGTCTTTCCAATTCAACGCCAGAAGTTTGATCTAATAACAAACTGAATAAGTGTAATTTGTACATACATTGACACTTTAATTCGACTGTTTTCAATTGATTTAATAACATGCTTTATTTGACGTCTAATAAATGTTCTCCAGCTTCATTCTTAGATTTCATTGCATTGCTTTACAATATTGCTGAATAAAGGTGAATACAGTCAGCATAATAGCTCTTATACCACTATGCGTCCATGTTGTTATCACATGATTTGTAAATGCTTTATAAACGACGTATTAGATTCATTATTCGACAACACTGATTCATTCTAACAACACGGCTCTACTGACCTACCGTCTATTGAAGAAACGACTTCTTGGCCATTTTATTCAACTGCATGCTTAATAGTACTTGTACTATTTTTAATAATAACTTCTGTTCAGGCTTTGTTCACACAAATCTGGAGAATTTATTCAACCTCAACATTGAACTGCTAGTGTTGTATAAGGTATCTCGAGAAGCTTTTATTCGACTTATATGAGTTGTAACAGAGTTTTATACGATAAAATTTTTGATTATTCAGTGTTTATATTTGACATCACTGCTTCTTTAAAACAGTGATGCTCTGTATACACTTGATTATCATGTGAAGTAACGTTTAATTAGACATTATTATACATTTATTAAACGATTATTCAACTATGGGAAAATTAACCCGAAAATAAGAGGACAGGGGACAGGGGACAGGGTGTTGTGTGTTTCTTAAGTGTATTGTAATTCAATATTTCTGACGTGGCTCGCACCACACAGATATTAGAAAATTTATTAAATACTTATACATGCCATTGTATGGGATTCGAACCATGTACCTTCCGATCACCAGCCGCTTGCCTTGTCATCTGAGCTATCCTAGAATTCATCATATGGGCAACTCAATAATCTATAAAAGCTTGCATGAAAGTAAATACCTATCAGCACTCCCGATCGCAACTCTAGCTCCTTCAAGGCCCTGTGGGAATAATTAATTCATTCGTCGTTGTTTTAAATGAGACCAATGTTGCCTCTTCACATCTCCAAGTCGAAAGAAAGGATGCTCGGTTATATTTTAAACTAGATCAATGCTTTCATTATCGTGAGTCATGTGATCGATATTACTATTTAAATTAATTATGTTCTACACAAATAAAAAAAAAGGTTGAGCTTGGGATTGAACTCACGACCTTCTAATTGGAAAGCGGAAACGATAACCACTACTCTACTGATTTCGCCTTGTTGTAAGACTGAATCAGTGTTGTCGAATAATGAATCTTTACGTCGTTTATAAAGCATTTACAAATCATGTGATTACAACATGGACGCATAGTGGTATAAGAGCTATTATGCTGACTGTATTCACCTTTATTCAGCAATATTGTAAAGTAATGCAATGAAATCTAATAAAGGAGCTGGAAAACATTTATTAGACGTCTAATAAAGCATGTTATTAAATCAATTGAAAACAGTCGAATTAAAGTGTCAATGTATGTACAAATTACACTTATTCAGTTTGTTATTAGATCGAACTTCTGGCGTTGAATTGGGAAGACATTTAACACTTTTACAGCTTTTAATAAGTAAATTAATCAGATCAGAGTGGAACAATGAGCTTTTTCAGCACATAATTCGACAACTCTTTTTATTCAGCATTGTACACTGTTATACAGCATTTATTCAATATATATGCTTATTTGTGACTTTGAATTGTTTGTTGGGTGGTATAAGAGCTATTTTGCTGAGTGTATTCACCTTTATACAGCAATATTGTAAAACAATGCAAAGAAATCTAATAATGGAGCTAGAAAACATTTATAAGACGTTTAAAAAAGCATTTTATTCAATCAATTGAAAACAATCGAATAAAAGCGACAATGTATGTGCAAATTACACTTATTCAGTTTGTTATTAGATCAACCTTCTGGTTCTGAATAAGGAAGACAGTCAACGTTTATAAAGCTTTTAATAAGGAAATTAATCATATCAGAGCAAACGGCGGAATAAAAGCGCCTCTATCGATCTCAATGAGCTTTTTTCAGCACATAATTCGACATCTTGTTTTATTCAGCATTGTACACTGTTATACAGCATTTATTCAATGTGTATGCTTATTTGTGACTTTGAATTGTTTGTTGGGCCATCTTGCCCCATGCTCCACCTTATCCTACATAATTTTTGCTTTTACAACCACAATGATATGCCCTGAGAAATTGAGGAGACTTTTAGCCAGAAAAATTCCTTAGGCGGACCGGGAATTGAACCATCCTTCTCCGTCATCAATCGACAAGTTACTTACCAAAGACATTTCTCTACATTTTACAATCAGCTATTTAGCTCTTCATTGACGTTCAATAACATCACATTGTTAACACCACTAATTGAAATAAAATACATTCCTTCCTTTCAGAATTCATCTCTCCAAGTCGCAACATTTCGCTGATGGCCTGGCCCGATATGGTCGCTTTTCACCCAGTCTGGACCAAGGCTATCACACGCTGGTATCACCATCTCCATCCGGTCAACAACAGTCATCGATACCGGCCACGTGGAACACGGCAGCTCCCAGCAACAGTACCTCGACGGCGAATAGCACCAATGGTAGCGCCCAGAACAACGTGGTGGGGAGCAGCGACCTGCTTAATGGCAGTAATGGCACATCATTGTTTCGATCGGGTCCTCTGTTTGATCGGCTTTCCGATGAACTGATGGTGAAAATCTTCGATTGGCTTGACAGCTGTGAACTATGCAATATTGCTCGTGTCTGCAAGCGCTTCGAATCGGTCATATGGAATCCACATCTTTGGAAAATTATAAAAATCAAAGGTTTATTCACTTATTTGACACGAATGCAAGATCACCTTAAGAATTGTATTTACTTTCCAGGTGAGAACAACAGCGGTGATAGGGCAATCAAAACCATTCTAAGGCGATTATGCGGTCAAACACGAAATGGTGCCTGCCCTGGGGTGGAACGAGTGTTGCTGAGCGACGGCTGTAGACTGACAGACAAAGGTTTACAGTTACTTTCGAGACGATGTCCAGAAATCACCCATCTACAAGTTCAAAACAGCGTAACCGTCACAAACCAAGCGCTGTTTGACTTGGTTACAAAATGTACAAATTTACAACATTTGGACATAACAGGTAGGCAGAGCGAAACAATCGATTCTAAACATAACTGATCCCTGCTCTATACGTTCTAGGTTGTGCTCAAATCACGTGCATAAACGTCAATCCAGGATTGGAACCACCCCGACGATTATTGCTGCAGTATCTGGATCTTACGGATTGTGCATCAATTTCAGATTCTGGACTTAAAATTATAGCCCGGAATTGTCCACTGTTGGTTTACCTATACTTAAGGCGATGTATTCAGATAACTGGTAATTGTATTCCATTACTCATCAATTAAATGCTTTTGTTCCTCATACATGTCGTATTCTTATAGATGCTGGTCTCAAGTTCATCCCAAATTTCTGCATAGCCCTAAGGGAGCTGAGTGTTTCGGACTGCACCAACATCACCGACTTTGGTCTATACGAGCTGGCTAAGCTTGGTGCTACGTTGCGATATCTCTCAGTGGCAAAGTGTGACCAAGTTTCGGACGCGGGATTAAAAGTGATTGCCCGGCGGTGCTACAAGATGCGCTACCTAAATGCACGAGGTTGCGAAGCTGTCAGCGACGATTCCATCAACGTCCTTGCCCGATCCTGTCCTCGGTTGCGGGCTCTTGATATCGGCAAGTGTGACGTCAGCGACGCTGGACTTCGGGCGCTAGCCGAGAGTTGTCCAAATTTGAAGAAACTTAGTTTGCGAAATTGTGATATGATCACCGATCGAGGGATCCAATGTATTGCGTACTACTGCCGTGGGTTACAACAGCTGAACATCCAGGATTGCCAAATTTCCGTAGAAGGTTATCGTGCGGTCAAAAAGTACTGCAAAAGATGCGTTATCGAACACACGAATCCGGGATTTTGCTAGCATTGGAATGTACAGGCCTAACGTGCTCTCTTTACTTTGTTTTAAACATTCAAACTGTAGCTAATTGTTTTTAAAGTTCGAATTTCGATTATAGTTCTGCCAAAAACAACGAACAGAAATTTGTTGATAACATTATTTAATTAGGCGAATATTTTATACTGTTTTGTATTAACTTTTAATTGTACACTAACGTCATAAAGTAGTTTTTTATAGTTTATTTTCATCACTTTTCGGACACATTGTATAGATTTTATTTATATGAATTCTAGATCAAATAAAATGTATTTATTTTACGAAAACAAGCTATGTCATCATTTAGTTGAACCATTATTTTCTTTTTGCTATTTTTTTTTCCTTGATTTGTTTTCCGTGCTGAGCACCAATGCTACCGGACGCCAGGGAGGCAGCTCCCACACCTGGACCCTACCTACCGACCCATCTACTCATGAACCGTAGACCAACGGCTTTACTTTCGAAGGAAGGCGTGATCAGATATGTTATGCCTCAGAACATCCCGGGTAAGAGGTAATCACGCTTACCACTACACCACAGACAAACAGATGTAACTCTGTGAAAAAGTTTTTCTTGAAAACATAGTATCTCAAAACATAGGACCTCAGTAACGACATCTCTCGGGTTTCTCGCGGAAAAGAAGCTTGCTCGCTAACTCGCAAACAATATTGCATAAAAGTTCTATAGAATGTATAGAAACGTCAAAGTGATCCGATGCCAGCGCTGCGGCGAGTAGGTCACGGAACTGATAATATTCAAATCAACCGTTAAATACGTGAACGAAGATACACAATGAAGAGTTACGTCTGTTTGTCTGTGACTTCACCACCGGCACCGCTTCTTTTTGCTATTTACGTGGAAAAATTCGTACACCTCTTGCAAAAAGCAGATGTCCGCTGCCCATAATCGCATATCAGTCCTTGCTTGATTTCCTATATATATGGGACAGTTATGCGATTATGGGCAGACCGATTTTGACTCATTTTTAAGGTGTACAGAGTTCGGTCCCATACGGTACCAGTGTACTTTCTGATAGTAGGGTAAGGTGGAGCAATTTATTAAAAATTATTAATTTTATTGATTTTTTTTATTTGTCGGTATCATACAGGGGGGAGGGGTTCTGTTAGACCGGGAGGGGAATTTGGGATAAGTTGTAAAGGGTTATTTTGAGGTTAAGATGATCAATGAGATTGATGGGCGGGGTTTATTTTTTTTTTTCAACATTAATTTTCATAAGGCAAATCAATGAAATTCATACCGATTTCTTGTGGCTAAAATTCATTAGTGGTTCTTATGTAGTTCTTACGTTCTTTTGCCTCAGTGCAGGATCTTCACCGAGTTGGCTGTTTGCAGCCACTGATCGTCTATTCGGTTTCGTTCATAATACCCAACATCAATGGCTACAGTTTTGCGCACATTCAGTTTGGCACCGGCGGCTATCTCGAATTGCGTAAACAGTAATGTTCATTATCGTTTCGATTCACTTATCGTTTCGATTTGCTAAGTTTTTTTTTCACTCATCTCCCATGTTCCGTTAGCGTTGTTATGATTAAAGAGCCTAGATAAATTCAGGCTCTTTAGTTATGATATACTTCGTAGATTGGATACGAGCGACACTCACGTCTCTTCTGAAATTCTCAGTTAGACTACTTTCAGGAATAATGCTGGGGAGTAAACATTGGTTCCAATCTAAACAAGAGTAACAGAAGCATGACTGTCGCTATTCCTGGCCACGCCCATCTTTACCATAACTATGGATAGGGAAGGAAATGTTGATGTAGTACTTACTTAACGAGAGGCCACCGACTTAGCGACACCCTCATAAGTGCTACGGAGTTGGAGGGTTGGGTAGGGTATTCGGTTAGGATTCACCTAAAGTTGGCGATGCAACCAAAAGTATGTATTGTTTATTTGTTGTTTATTCAATCTCTCGATAGCCGGCTATCGAAAGAACATATCCAGAACAACATGTGAAAAGGGCATACAAGCTTTTTGTAAACAAACCTTTGTAGGCCCTTTTCTCACCAACCGAGGGTCGCCCACGCAAACCACCAATATCATCGCGAAGGGGAAAGTGTCCCCTACCCGGTGATGTTAAAGGTTTGCGTTGGTGTCATATGAGTGGCGAGAAAAGGGCATAAGAAGGTTTGTTTACAAAAAGCTTGTATGCCCTTTTCACATGTTGTTCTGGATATTCATTTTGTTTAGTGATCATGAATTTTAAGAAAAATGACGGAGAGCTTGGGATTAAACTCATGATTTTCTGCTCAGTAAGCAAAAACGATCCCTCCAGGGTCATCGAGCATCTCATAATCCACAGCGCTTCGCGTCAAAGTACGAATGTATGGATAAACTATCTATTATTGAATAACTATTATTTACGATAATTACATGAAAGAAATAAAATATAAACCACAAACAAAACATGACTACTAAAATCTCAAAAAGATATTCTCACAAATCCACTTAGGACGCTGCACGCTGACGTCACGAATGAACGCGATGAACCCGCATTCATCAGTTTGACATCCAGTGGTGGTTTGTTTACCTATGCTTTTTAGGCTATTCAAGTGGATTTTAGTTTTTAAATATAAAGAACTAAAACATATGATATCCGACTATGTTCCTTTGAAAAATATTCCTCTCCAAAAAATCTAAAAAAGAAACATTTCTAGATAAAGCTGGAATTAGGGCGTAACAGCTTTTGTAAACAATGACTTTTCTCGATGATATCTAGAAAGCCAAGGCTCGCCTACTCAAATCAACGTCACCATCGAGTAGGGGAAGACTTCTCCTTCCCGTTGGTTATGTTGGTTGCGTGGGCGTGCCTTGAGTTTCGAGAAATCATCGAGAGAAGTCATTGTTTACAAAAGCTGTTTCGCCCTAATTACAGCTCTATCAAGATTTAATAAATTTTTTCTAAGTCCATGTAAACAAACCACTGCCAGATGTCAAAAAATGTGAGGTTAAGCCGACGGTGCATCTCTCTATAGACGAGTGCACGGATGGATTTGAGTTCACTCACTCGACAAAAAGTGACACAACAGCGGGGCCCTGTTTACTAAAAATGAACACATGAATAATGCTCGCATAACATTTGAAAATGGATTATCAATTTTTCTAAACAACTTGCAAGGTCCTTTTCACGAGAACCGAAGTATGCTTACGTAAACCAAGAGCACTATCGGGAAGGGGAGAATTTCTCCTACCCGATGGTGTTGTTAGTTTGCGTGGACGTATTCGGTTCGCGCGAAAAAGGCTTAACAAGTTTTGTATACATAAGTTGATAGGCCCGTTTCAAATGTTACGCGAGTATTATTCATGTGTTCCTTTTTAATAAACAGGGCCCCGCTGTTGTGTCACTTTTTGGCGAGCGAGTGAACTCAAATCCATCCGTGAACTCGTCTATTGACGAGTGCACGGATGAATTTGAGTTCACTCACTCGACAAAAAGTGACACAACAGCGGGGCCCTGTTTACTAAAAATGAACACATATGTTCATTTTTAGCAAACAGGGCCCCGCTGTTGTGTCACTTTTTGTCGAGTGAGTGAACTCAAATCCATCCGTGCACTCGTCAATGCGTGTCTCTCGTCTCTGGCCCGGACCAAGGCGACTACATCAGGCATAACATTTGATAACGGCACAAAAGCATTTGTAAACTAACTTTCTAAGGCCCTTTACACGCGAACCAAAGTACGCCCAAGCAAACCAATACTACTTTCGGAAAGGTGATAGTTGCTAGGGGTAGAGTCGGTGTATAATGAGTCACGCCAAGAGAAAAACAGTTGAACTCGCATCACGGTTTCCGAAGGATTCCCTTTCTTATCACTTGGCAACAGAGGACTTCTACATCAACTTTAAATGACTTCTAGCGAGAACCAAAAATAACGGCTGTAGTGAATCATAATATCAGTGATTTTGTCAAATTATCTTATCAAAAAATAGTAGAAATTCTCATTACTGATCAAAACCAAACGTATCCCATGACCATTTAATGCTCGCTGCGTGTTTATGATGATTTCTTCAATTTTATTTTATATTTCATTGCAATACCTTTCGTAGACCTTTCATAGCATCGTAATGTTTATTTACTTTGCACGATAGGTAGCCGATTTGACAGTTCAATAGGTAGACTTGGCTTCACTCTTGGCGTGACTCATTATACACCGACTCTAGCTAGGGGCATGATGCATGATCCGATGATGTTGTTGGTTTTCGTGGGCGTACTTTGGTCCGCGTGTAAAGGGCCTTAGAAAGTTTGTTTACAAATGCTTTTGTGCCGTTTGTTATCCTGACATATAGGTGTTCTAATATGTCAAATTCATGATTCAGCCATGTTGGATTTTTGTATGGGACAGCGACCGAGTTTGTTTACAATTTGTTCTAAAACCGCACTTTTCCCCCCCCCCCCGCGACCTCCTCGCCTATATTGACCAATGCACGGAATGAACTCACGTCCAAATTTGACGTTTGAGCGGTGCCGTGTTTACTAAAAATGAACATATTATGTAATGCTCGCGTAACTTTAGAAAAGGGCCTATAAACTTTTTAAACATTTTGTTATGCCCTTTTCACGCGAACCAAAAAACGCCCACACAAACCAAGGGCACTAACGTGAAGGGAACAATTAACCCTACCCAATGATGTTGTTTGTTTGCGTGGGCGTACTTCGGTTAGCGAGAAAAAGACTGAACAAGTTTTGTGTAAACAAGTTGATAGACCCTTTTTAAATGTTCCGCGAGCATTATGCATGTGTTCATTTTTAGTAAACACGGCACCGCTTAAACGTCAAATTTGTTCGTGCAGTTCATTCCGTGCATTGGTCAATTAGGTTTTGCACCGTCGGGGTTAACCTCAATCTGATGACAGTTCAGTGGTACTGTTTACGTGGACTTAGTCGTTTTTTTTCTTGGGTAGATTTTCTCGATATTTTTTCAGACTGCAGTGAGATGTAAACCACACTTCTGCATTGTCCACGAGCAACATCCTTTCACTGCACTGTTCCTCGACAATTTTCAAGTTAAAATTCGGAAATTTTAGAATTTGTTTTTTTGAAAAAACGACTAAGTGCTTGTAAACAG